TGCTAGGACTTTGACGTCAGCTGGGGCGGCGTTTGCTTTAGGGATCGACAAATGGGCTGCAGCAGCAATTTCCGTAGCAATCCTGCATCGCGTCTCCTACCACGGGCGGAGAGGGGGTGATGTTTCTTGCACGGGGTAATGGACCATTTCCTGCGGTAGATCCTCAATGTCATTACATGAGACCTCGCGGATCTTCATTCGGCAGGCGGCCTCCCTTCACCTACCCCCCACGCGTCTTTTTGCCTCCTTTTTGCGCTCCTCTCTTTCCCACCCTGCGTGTGGTCCCCCTCTCCCTCCCTCGTTCCCCTCTCCTCCTTCCTTTCCCCTCTCCTCCTTCCTTTTCCTCCCTCTGGGCATTCTCACCACTCTCTTGGCCTGCTCCTCCAGATGCTTGAAGTACCGCAACACCGCAGCACTGACCTTCCGGGACTGAGGAGGAGCAGGCGGGGGAGGAGAGGGGGAAAGACGAACCACAAACGAGTGAAGCTGCTGCCAGGGCAAGAGTGTACCAGACGTAGGAGGAGAGGGGGAAGGCGGAGGAGGAGAATGAAGGGGACATGGAGGGGTAGACAGGAAAAACTTACAGGACAGGACGGAGAGGGAAAGGAATGGAAGGAGGCGGAGGAGGGCAGGAAATGTAAGAGGCGAACAGGACAGGCAACACACCACACCACACCACATCACATCACACCACACCACATCACACCACACCACACCACACCACACCACACCACACCACACCACACCACACCACACCACACCACACCACACCACACCACACCACACCACACCACACCACACCACACCATAGTTGTAAGTTATTCATGTCTTCTAGTGATAGTCGAGTCATGAGCCCAGAGCAAATAACGGAAAAAAATTGTCGCAGGCGCCTTTGAAACTCAGGAAAGACAAGAGAGCCACGCACTCGGGCGCCGCGCACTCGGGCACTCGGGCAGCTGATCCTCAACGCCGTACAACCGGTCCTCCTCCCACATCTCATTATCCCGAGGTAACCGTACGGTGGGCCAAAGCGCCTGGTGGCACTTTCCCCACACAGACACCGCCAACACGGCGCATCCTCCTGGTCCCTCTCTTCATATCTTCCTCCTCGCCCGCGTTTCTAGCACGGTGGCACCATTCTATTCTAATGGAACCTGTCGCGTCACCTGCCGGGCATCCAAATTCGCGCTTTTCGTTGTCCTGCTAATATTTCCTGGTTGCATCGCTCCGCTTGTTTTTTTGACGCTTGTGTTTTTGCCTTGAAGAGACCTTTCACCCACCACCACACCACCACCGCCATCCCTCTTGCCTACCTGTGCCTTGCTGAGAACCAACGTGGAGACAGGTCGGCTCTGTCGTCTGCTGGTAGCCGATCTGGGTCTCGGCCGGCGAGTGGCGACCTGCCGGGGGCAGCGGGAGGGGTGTGGGAAGGGAAGGGAAGGGAAGGGAAGGGACGAGGCAGGGTAGGTGATGGCGTGAAGCACATGAGGGGAACGGATGGGGCCAAGGCCACATGGCATGGCATGGCACCGCTGCTGTGGGGGGCTGTGGGAGTTTCGCCGCGGCACGGGTAGGAAGTGTGCCGAGGATGGCACCCGAGTACACGCTTGTCGTGGTACCGCGCGTGTGTACCCGTATACATATATAGATCAATGCATATGCACACACATACATACATGCATGTGTACATGCAGACTAGCCATGCCACCGTGTGGGCCGACCTGAGAAGCCTCGCAAGGAGACAACCCCCATCCAAATCGCCCAGCCCAGCCAGCCAGCCAGCCAGTCAGCCAGCCAGCCAGGCCCCACCTCTGGACCCCAACCACAGCGTCTCTCCCTCGTACTCCGCTTCCTCTCCCTCTCCCTCTTCCCCGCACCCTCACGCACACCGCCATTGCTACCGCCACCGCCACTACTACCCGCACTGCCACTGCTACTGCCACTACTACCCGCACTGCCATTGCTACTGCCACTGCTACCGCCAATACTACCCGCACTGCCATTGCTACTGCCACTGCTACTGCCATTGCTACTGCCGTTGCTCCCAAGCTCAGACCAGACGCCTCACCTGATGCCCCGCTGGCAACCCCGGCAGCGACGCCCCGGAGGACTCCCGTTTGAGCTCCGTGAGGAAGGTAATGCCGCGAGCGAGTCCCGGAGAAGAGGCGCGAGAACAGCCGCTGACGTCGCCACGGGCACCGCTGCCGCCGCAGCTGCCCTCGTCGTTGTCGGCAGCCGCTGCCAAGTCCCCTGCCTCCTGCGCCGTATGATGTTGCTTGCCAGATCCTTGATGACGCCGGTAGAGGTCCTCGAACGCGCCCAGCGAACGACCGATGGCGTCACGCATCTTGGACTTCACCTGCCGATCATCATCATCATCATCATCATCATCGCGCACGCATCATCAACACATATTACACAACGAGATGAGATGCGGGAACATGCAGAAAGGAAGGATGCGGTGCATACAGCAGGAGAGATGTGGGATGGAGGATGAAGGGGTGGAAGTCGAGGAGGAGGAGGTGGCGGAGGAGGGGCACAAGGCCTAGGGATGGGGAACAAGGCGCGCACCGGGTCCCCTGTCGCCCTGTCGCTCTGTCGCCCCGGGTCCTTAATGATGCTAATGACGCTAATGATGCTAATGATGCTAATGATGCTAATGACGGCGACACCGGGAGGGGGAGATAAGGGAGAGAGCGCACGGGTTGCCGGGGCCCTCGCAGCTCGCAGTTCTCAGCCGAGGAGCTCCCCGACATGAAGGCAACCGCCCCATGCAAGGCAGCACCTGTTTCATCTTCTCCCGCTCGGCTTTCTCGGCCTTGCTGTTCTCCACGCGTTCATAGATTGCGTGCGCGTTCTCCCTCTGCCGCAGCGTCTCCGTCTCGGCCCGTATGAGATCCTGAACCCTGAGCACCACCACCACCATGAGGTGATACCGAGGTGGGCGGATGGACGGACCGACGGCAGCAGGGGCACACAAAGGCGGCGAAAGCGGATGGCGGCAGCAGCAGTCAGCAGTCAAAACAGTCAGTCGAGCACTTGCAGCCCAAGGAAGCGCAAGGACCGGTACCAGCGAAAGCAGCAACAGCAGCACCACATCAGCAGCAGAAGAAGGAGGAGCAGCAGGGGTGGTGGTGGCAGGTGGGGGAGAGAGAAGAGTAGCAGGAACAACGACAGCCGTCATGTAATTTTAATATTATTCTCGTTGACATGCTTAACGCGTCACACGTTCCTGAGCCTTCGTTTCCTCCGCCACGCTTTGTATCTCTCATTTCCGCCATGTCTCAAACCTCTCCTGCTGCAGCTCGGACGTTGTTGTACGTAGCCGACAGCAAAATAAAACGCTCTAATGGCGTCGCGATGGACGCCAAGACGGAGTTAGAACCCTCCTGCCGCACACATAACACATAACACATAACACATAACATATAACATATAACACATCACACATCACCGTCTGGTCGCCCCTCGGGGCTCTCACCGCTCACTCACCGCTCGTGGAACTCGACCACCTTGAGCCGCGCATCCCCACCCCGGATGAGCGACTCGATCAGCTTCTTGCGACGAAACGCCCGAACCACATCTGCGAAGCTCAGATCACCCTGTGAGCAGCGAGGAGAAGAGGCGGCCGCGGAGGAGACTCAGGGTGGCTAAGCGCGGAGGGTCCGAAGGGGAGCGGGTCGGGAGGAGGCTGAGAAGGCAGCGCCACGTGGCAACGGCGGCACGGAGAAACGCCAACGAGGACTCAGACCGGTGGATTTTAATCAGGAGGTGGCGGATCAAGGAATTGGATGAGGATGAGAGGATACGGGGGAGTACAGCAGCCAAGGGGGCTGGGTATGGCGGCGCACAGGAGCCTTTGGAAGGAAGGGTGGAGGCGGCAACAGGTAGCAGCTGCGCAGAAATACAGAGCAAATGCAGAGCAAATGCATTGCAACTAGCGGGACTCACCGAGCCTGTCTTCGCGACCAGTGTCTTTCGTGAGGTCGTGCAGCAGGGCAGCAGGGCAGCAGGGCAGCAGGGATGAGAGCGTGCAGGGCCCGGAAGAAGGATAGGGAGGGCAGCAGGGTTGGGGAAAGGGAAACCAAAATAAGGAAACAAACAAAGAGAGAAAGGAAAGAAGTGGATGGTTGTAACTCTGGGAGTTTCTTCGCCGGGAAGCGAGTACGATGCAAGTGTGGGACGCACAGAAAAAAGCACAGAAAAAAGCACAGAAAAAAGAGGGGAGTGGGCGGGTGAGCTGTTGGGAGAGACTGCGGCCGCAGGGGTTCTCACCCCCGGGGTGCAGTAGGGTGGCAACCGGTTTAATGAAGTGGAGGTGCGAAACGGAAGTCCGAAATCTGTTGTTTTGGATTCGATTTGGGTTTCAGCTAAGCGAGAAATATGCGGACGCATATGGCAGCTCTGCCGCTATGAATCTCTCTGCCCCTATGAATCTGTGAGGTGGCTGCTGCCAGCATCCCAATTGCAAGGCCAGGAAGGGCTGGCCTCCGCAGTGTGCCGCATGCGACTGGGAGAGAAGTTTTGGTTGGGAAATATTTTAGGGGGAAAGGTTACTGGTGGCCGGGGATTTGGGATACCCGTGTATGGGTGAGAAGGGTGCTGTGCAGAACGTGACATGTTGTCGTGTGTGGGTGCATGCTGTACGATTACTCCGTGCAAATTAGACGACGGAGAGGGCGAGAGGGCGAGAAGGAATCTTTTCTGCGACTTCCATGCGATTTCTCCAGGTCACAAGTTAAGTCATTCAAATTTTCTTACCACGCCGCTGTCGTCCGGTTGGTACAGCGCGCGACCCATTAGGGAGAGGAACTGCGCATGAGGGCCACGCCAAGCACGCCATGAGTGAAGCAGACGTAAATGGACCGAATAAAATGGGGAAAAGCGAGATGTGATTGGTCCGTGGTGCAGCGCGGCAAGCAGAACCAAGGTGATGATGGGCAGCAAAGGACAGCCTGAAGGTAGGAGGCACATGCTTGTATACACAATGAAGAGCTAACCTCGTCGAATTCAAGCTCGCCAGATCCATCAGGGTCAGCTTCGGACATCAATTCCGACATAGCATCCTTGGAAATTGTAAAGCCCAGGGCCCCAAACGCGTGCAAAATTTCTTTGACGTCCAGTGCGCCGCTGCCATCGCTGTCCAACATTTCGAAGCACTCCTGAATTTCCGCACGCTGCTGGGCGGTCATGGCTGCAAGCAAGACAGCCAACAAGTTAGCAAATCGGTCGTTTCTCGCATTCCTTTCACCGCGAGCCTTACTTGGAGCAGGAAGAGGTACGCCATGCTTCTTTAGCCATGCTCGGCGCATTACATCCAACAACTTGGACGTCGCCTCCTGAAACTTGGCCCCCATGTTATCGAGTCCAACGCCAGCAAAAGAATTTTCTGTCCTCACAAATGGTCGCCCATTCTAACAGTTACGGAATAACCCTATGTCGCCATCAGGAGGACCCGGCAGGGCGATAAGCCCTGCGCCTTCGGGGTAGAGCAAGCGGTGAGCATTGACGACGTTGTTTGTACTAATATCCTGTAGTGGCATGAAAGATAATCAAAGTCTCTGTTAACTCGCACTGTACATACTCCAACAACCCTTTGTTTGTTGCTCGTCGCAGTAACTATCCGTACAGATAGTCGTTCACCGGGAGGTAGCCTGGGGAACAGGGTTTCTTTGATGACACAGCTGCATATGTAAGGGATTTGTGTTCGTTACCGAGTACGTAGGGTTTGGCTTTGATCGGTACGACTCTGTGTCGTGCAAGGCTTTGCCAGACTATTTAAGGCATTCCTACACCATTATTTGTAAGCTTAGTATTCTTCTCTTCCTTGTCTCTCAGTCAGCGATTGATGTCGGGCTCTGCAGATCGGGCAAGTTAGGAACTAATGCTTCCTCCAGTCGCCAACTGGAGCCAGTTCCTTTCATATGGTATCGAGTTATGGTTCAATCCTGCCTCGGTCCGTATTGGAGCTGTTTTCCCATCGTCACTGCTTTTGCACTTCGCGCCACCGCACGATCGATTGTTTGCCGGCCCGTGTTGCCGGTCGTTCACCCGCATCTCGTAACTACCGGGTTCATCGCTCTTCGGTACTGACATTCAGCTTTGTACGCCACTGTTGTGTGCAAGTCGGCTCAAGTCGCTCCACTCCGAGTGTAACAGTTGGTGTCACAACTTGAAATCGGAGCTCTTTCCTTTTCAGTTGGATCAGAACGCCTTACCGTCGTTCGACAGCCGGCCAAGTTTGGACACCTTGCGCTGGACTGCAGTTTCACGTTCGTTTCGGGCTCAAGAATGGGCCATATCCGTTTGCTTCTATCGTTTGCGGAAGCTGACAACCCGCCGTCTACCTCGTTCGTTCAACGTTAATCGCCGTGCCCTGGTCGCCAGTATGCCTGCCCGTCGTGTAGGTTGTATGCGTGCTCGTGTTGCAGCAGCCTCCACGGCAGGAGTGCACCGGGTTGACAGCGACTGGATGCTTGCGTACCCCACGTTTCACGAGTTCAATCGTTTTCGTAATCTTCGTCGTCGATCCAACGTCACGCTAAAGGCCATCACATCTCATCATGCCATGGAGCTCGATGTTGGCCCTTGTGTCGGGGTGCCCCTATGTTTTGGCTCAAGTCGACCGGGGCGCCCAGCCGAGTGCTCAAAAGAGACCTACCATCACCTTCACGAGATTCTCCGTTCTTACTTTCCTTCGAGTTCTCATGTGTGCTTATGTGTGCAGTAGATGCAATCATTCCGGAGCTCACACAGTCATGCTTTTCATTTGAACCAAGCTATGCTGTCTTTGGGTTTTTCTTAGCTGGAACACCTTGCCTTATGTGGTTAGCTGTCTGAGTCCCATATGTAGTCATGCCATGGCATTGTATGGGGGTGCAGTTGCCTGAGCATGCCCACTGTTGTGATGAAAGCAGTGAGTTGCAGTATGCAAGGGAACCTTGTGCTTGCGTCTGTAATGGCAACGAGGACGTTGCAGCTTTGAAAGACCGGGGAAATGTAAGGGATTTGTGTTCGTTACCGAGTACGTAGGGTTTGGCTTTGATCGGTACGACTCTGTGTCGTGCAAGGCTTTGCCAGACTATTTAAGGCATTCCTACACCATTATTTGTAAGCTTAGTATTCTTCTCTTCCTTGTCTCTCAGTCAGCGATTGATGTCGGGCTCTGCAGATCGGGCAAGTTAGGAACTAATGCTTCCTCCAGTCGCCAACTGGAGCCAGTTCCTTTCAGCATATGTTTGCCTTTTAAGGTCCCTTAAATACGTATGATGTTTAGACCCCACCAGGATCCAGATACTTGTTAGTCGCCAATGTAAGCTGTTGCTGAGTAACAATCGAATTGAATGCGACTTCAACAAGTATTGCAGGTTGAATGTTTGCGAAGCCCACCTGGTACCGTATTTGAGGGTTTGACAGCGTATCTTTACTAACGTATATCACACCAAGGCAACGCAACCAGATTCGATCGTCCCATGTGTCAACGCGCAGGCCACGGGGTGGGCTGCCACTGCAAGCGAATCTCATGGGATCCGCGCTGTAGCCTCCTGACAGGTAGTAACCCCCGGTGGCCGTACGTAATCAGCTCTTGATTAGTCGTCGTCGTGTTGCCAACCGCGTTATGTTGCCACACGTTCCTAAGAACGCCACCGCACGCAACGAGGAATCTTCCATAACGTACCCAAGATGCCATGCACTCGCGCAGAAGTATTCTGCGGAAATGCAGACCGTAGATACTCTGAAGTCCGCGAGCCTACTCCGGAAGGCTAACAGCTTGCATTTAGGTAAAGCAAATCCTTGCAAAGTAGAGCGGCACCAACTTCACTAATCGCAGCTCACCAGCTTCCAGTTACAATTGTAACCCGCAAAATTCGCCCGGCGGCGGCGAGTGAGGCCTAGCTGGCTGGGCACTGACAGAACATTTTCAGCATAGATACCCGTCCAAGCGTGTTCCTTATACTTCAGCTGTTAGATTTTGACCGTTCAATGTGCGACAATCTGCACTGGCTGAGTGGACAGTGGACAGTTTATTAACCCATTTGTAGTGAAGCACATCCACAAACGGGGAATCGTTCCACCCACGGTTGGGGTTTCGTGGCCACGATTTCAAGTCACTGAACCACCGCAGTTCCTGCTACACGGTGTATGGATAGCATGTAGGTATGGTCCGCCTGGAGAGGGTGGGGTTGCTTCTCGACTATCGCCATATCAAGGTGCAGTAGCCAATGGTCGGGCAGCCTCAGACGCGCAAAAGGTTTAAGGGTTTCCCTTTCCTCTGCTCCCTGTCCAGCACCAGCCCCGTGGTGTGGATTAAAGGCACTCCTACTCCTTCCGGGGTCCCTACCCAGCTACTGTGCTGATGTAAGCTGAAACCAGAGCGATGTACGAACACAGGAACGCAGGAACTGCCGTACACAAGGACGTCTTGGTAGTTAGTATTTTGTCCGAGGGGATAGCAAAGCAGAGCTTCCTTTGGCGTATATCTCACCGGACCAAGCCAAACGAAACCAAGCCAACCAACCAACAACGAAATTCAATGGGCCCAAATTTCAATCAATTGACTACGTCCACTAAGGCAGGATCCTGTCCCTGCTGCTACGCTACTTTGTGTTGCGCCAATGGAGGGGGAGGCCAATCAAGGAGCAGTCCTTACTCCTCACCTCCGTCGTGCAAATCAGATTCTCAAAGTCATATCACCCCACTCTGCTACGGAAATCATCGCCATGGCGACATCTGCGGAACTCTATCGCCGAGGGGAGTGCATACGCAGAACGCATCATGATGGCCACCCAATCGGCATATTCCCTAAAGAGCATCTGTTTGTGCTGGATATAGCAGGGTCCTCTCCAAGGAGGCCCTGAGTCCTCTGGCCTATGCAATCCTCGCTTCCATATACACGCGTACACACGGACATACAACACACGTACACATACACATGCACAACAACACCGTTCCAACCACACCTGCTGACTTCGTTCCATGCCGTTTTCCGTTTCCTACACAGCTACGGCCCTTCCAACTACACAGCTATTAAGACCTGAGGCCGACAACTGGCTGCCCAGCAGCACCGCGGTGTGTGTGGTGTCCCTGCATGGTCACATGGTCACAAAAACACACATCCAGCAGAAGAGCTGTACCTACATCCTCATCTACACACCAAAGCACAACAGATGTACTGTTGCTGTATGCAAAGCTCTCGCAACTCTCTCCACCCACCAACCCAACCACCAACCCCACCCATTCCGAGCCAAAAGGTCTTCTAATTCCATGCATAGTATATGTAGTGTGCTAAGGAGTACCAAGCCAGACAATTTGCACATCCAAACCGCATCCAAGCTCTATTCACAAACACTACCATTGCCACTGCCGCACGGGTACAGCGAACCCATGTGCCCGTGGGCGACCATCAGCTGTACCTTGATGATGTGTATAGTACCAAGGAAAACTGACGGTTGATTGAACACAAGTGCGACCGCAATGCCCAAGCAATCACGGGTATCAGGAAAAGCTTTGGTTTCGGAGCAAGGCTCGTCTATAGTACCTGTGCAATCGAATTGTAACAATCAAGGGGCTCCCACACAAAATCAATGCGCTAAACAAACAGAGGCGCTACGAGTTATGGAGAGCCATGGCCACGGCACCATGTAGCATAATAGAGAGCTTGCTGCACACCAAGTCGACGGGCACATATCAGGAGGCCAATACAGGGTGTGTTGGACGCAACCAAACTCAAGTGCGTAACAGATGACGCCCCTCTGAAGCCTCTTCATGGTTCCCTGCCAACCCTTGCTGTCCAGCATGGCACCCGAGTTCCTCCTTTCCCGCATCCAATGCTGCCAACCAAAAGGTTTTGCTGCTCTTGCACGCGCAATGAGTCGTGTCGCACGCGACTTCAGGCCCTCCCAAAAGCGATGATAAAAAAGGTGGTCGCAGGCTTTCAAGTCGCCTTGGGAGCCAAACATACGCACGCTATGCGCACATCGTTGCAGGTCACCGACTAGAAATTCCATCGATTGAATCTTTCGCAAGCCGTAAACGAGCTGTTCGGTACAATACTCTTCAAGAATTCAGACGCTGGACTGGCAAAAAGGGCACCAACCCGTCCACTACTGTGGAAAGAAGTAAATAAGGCAGAAAACTCAGTAGCCCAGAAAACAAAAGAAAGCACCCAAGCCTGGTGGCCGCTTCCTTCCCCCCCGTGCACGGCTCCCTCTACCCGCCCCCTACGTCTCCTTCTAGACCCTAGCTCCGATCTGCCTGCGCTTCGAAGTGCAAAACAACAACACCGCAACCAACCCCAGCACTTATCTGTTCCCAGCACCCAACATGGCACCCACACACCACACATACCCACGCCTACGCACACACCCACACAGGCCGACCCTGCTTTGGGAGGTCTTTTCAAAGCGGGCATGTGCGTGGCGTAAGAGGGCACCGGGAGCCCTACTCCGTGACCTTCGATCCGCCAAAGCACACCAGGCAACTAAGGAACGCACGATTCCGCCTGCCTAGCGCCCGAGGAGATTGCGGACCTACAGAAGCCGCAGTTTCCCCATCCGTCCCCGGACCGGGCCCCACACCAGCACCGAGCTGCACCAGTTCCGTAGACTGCAAGCGGGGCGACGCGTCCGCAGCAGCTCCCTGCGCACCATCACCCAGCACTCCCCTCGGTGTTGCCGTGGGGTCCAGCTCCCCGCGCCCTGGGGTTACGGCAGAAGCTGCCGCAACCGACCTTGGCGGCCTGGCAGGAGATGAACCTGCGCTTGCTTCCTCTACTTCCGAGATCCTTGTGCCAGCAGGCCGTTGCGGTGAGGGCGTGGAAGCCGCCGCTGCTGCCGCGGCCACCGCTGACGGTGGCTTCAGCTTTTGATCGGGTGAAACAGTGGCGCCGCCACTGCCCAGCCCGGGAGAGGCGATCTGCGTGCTGGGCAGATTCGCCTTCAACACATTGCCGTGTTCGTCAGCGTGAGGGGAGGTTTGTGTGTGATGATGGCTACCATGTCTAACAGCGTCGCCCGCTGGAGAGGCAGCGCCATCGCCCGCCGCCGCCGCTGTCGCTGCTGCAGCGACCAAAGCAACAGGATCCCCGCCAGCCTCAGCCGTTGGCTCATCCAAGCCGCTTGTCACGCGGCGTAATCTGCTGCTACCAATGCTGCGCAAGGAGGGTTGCCGCGTTGACCCGGGCGCAGCCGACGGCGACGTGCGCTCGCCAGAAAGCGTGTCCGCATCACGCACGCCAGCGGCAGCCAAACTACCGCCCGTAGGCACCAGCACTTTCCATGCGGGCAGCAACGCACCAGCCTCAGCGTCGTCCTCCCCGCGGGGCTCTCCTGCGGCTGCTGCTGCTGTTGTTGTTGCTGAGGCCACTGGCGAAGTCCCAGGGTGCTGAGCGGATCGCAGAACCCCATGCGGCCCTGCAAGCGGTGTTATCGCCCCTGCCGATGCAGGCGAACCGATGCGCGCCGCGCCGGCGCTTGGCGCCGGCGGGGGCGCCCTTCCCGACGAGACCCGGTCATATCCCAGGGCGCTGCCGTTGTATTCAAAGCCTTCCTCGCCAGCCGGTGCCGACGCTGCCGGTGCTGTTCCCGATGCTGCCGGTGCTGTGACAGCGGCTGCGGGCTGGCCGTCGACCGCGGCTGCGGCCTCCGCGCCCTCCTCCACAATGTTCTCAAGCCCCACTTCCGATACCTGCGAGGTCATGCGGCTGAGGCGGCTGCTGCCAACGCTGCTGCTCCGCGGCGCCCGGTGGGTGACACCAGCGACCATCGCCAGCAGCTTCGAGCCCAGCGAATCGAGCCCTCCACCGACGCCGCCAGCAACTCCAGGAACTTCCTTAGACGGTGACGTACCCCGTGGGCTCGCCTGCAGCGGAGGCGCGGGCGGCGACTGCTCCGTGAACCGCGCGTCTGCCACAGCCTCCGCGGATTGCGCGTCTGGCCGGCCGCTGTGGCCGCCAGACGACTGCTGTAGCGTCTGGCCCTCATTGTCGTCTTCGTGAATGTCGGACAGTAATAACGTGGCCGCGGTGGCGGCGGAGGCGCTTCCGGCCACGGTGGCGGCGGAGGCGGCGCTTCCGGCCGCGGTGGCGGCGCCGTCGCGCGCACTGCCAACGCGGCTGAGCCGGCTGCCGCTAGAGCTGCGACTGGAACGCAGAGACGGCCGACTGTTGAGCGCGCGGACGATGGGGCTCTCTGGCAACGGCGCCCGGCCGTCCTCCGAGGTTAGATCGCCGATGGGGTGGGCCCCAGGACTCGACCGGCGACCGCCGGCGGAGGCGCGCACCTCAGCGGCGTACAGCACCTCCGCTGGCAGGCCGCCGATGGCAGCAGGCGCAGAGCTGCGCTCCGAAGGCGAGCGAGACGTCGATGCCGGAAGCGGCGGCTCCGCCGCCGCTGCCGTGGAAGGTCCCGCCAGAGATTCTCCGTCAGCATTCTCAACGATGACGGCTGCTTCCGCCGCTACCGCCGCCGCAGCAGCAGCAGCTGCTTCCGCAATAGCGCTTTGATTAGCCGCGTTGGCGGGGGCGATGCGGTCGGCAGAGTGGCATTCAGCGGCACTGGCGCCGCCGGCGCCGCCATCGCCATCAGCGGGGCCGGCGGCAATGGGCGTGTTGGTGTACGACTCGTCCACATAGTCCTCGACAGCCAGGCTGGTACGGCTCAAACGGCTGCCACGTAAGCTACCAAAGGATTCAGAGAGGGACGCGAGCCGAGTACATGCTGTGATCGTGGTGGCACGACCGATACAGTCTCGGCTGCAGCTGGTGTGCCCATATTGCCATCATGCGAGTTGGTCAGCCCTGCCATCGCCGCATTTGGTCCCGCGCCGGGCGATGCCGCGGACAACGAGTCGGAAGCCGATATGCTCGGTGAAGGCGGCACGAGCTTCCATGCGTGAATACCCTCGCCGCTATCCCCTCCATTGGCAGCCTTGCTTGCCGCCGCCGTTGCCGCCATTGGAGCCGGCTCTGAGACAGCCCTCGTTTCCGCGGCCGGCTCGGCCTCTTCCTCCTCCTCCTCCTCCTCCTCTTCTCCATCCTCCTCTTCTTCCTCATCGCCTGCCTCCTGCACGGCCGACGCCCTAGGTGGTGTTGGACGCATGCCAGGCGAAGGGGGTTCAAAGCTGACCTGCAGCGTAACCGGCTTGGCTGACGCCATCGCCAGGCGACTGGACGGGTTGCCAGCAGCTCTCGAGGGGCCCAGCGCTGATCGGCAAGTCCCGACTGCACGCGACATCGGCAGCAGCCCACCGGCGTGCGCCTCAGGCCCTGCCATGCCCGTAGCCGACGGCGCCGGTGCGCGCAGAGGCAGCACCTTCCACGCATGTAGCATGCCAGCAGCGCCGTCATTGCCGGCTGTCGGACTATCGGCAGCGGCCTCGCCACCGCCGCCGCCTCCGCCTCCGCTAAGGGTGGTACCAGGTAGCAGCAGCCGCTCGTGCGCGGCGCTGTCCTCCATAGATGCCTCCATGTCCGCCAGGCCGCCGGCGCTGTCGTCACCATGTGGGGAGCCCTGAAGGTGTCCCACAGCAGCGTACGCCTGCATTCGCAGCTCCGCTAGCAAGTCCTCTGGAATGCCGCTGCTCATGCGGCTGAGCCGGCTGCTGCTGCGCATGCTAGCCAGCATGTTAGCAGCCAAGGGCGCAGCAGCGCCAGCACCGCCGCCAGCCTCGTCGGTACTTTTGCTGCAAGGGCTCCTCGGTGACTCCGGCAGCGGCAAAACCTGCCAGGCAGGCCGTAACGCGTCGACGTGCGGATCGCCGCCGCCGACGGAACGGCGCGGTAGCGGAACAAAGCCCACGGCTTCCGATGTGATGCGGTGACTGGAGGTGCGCGCCGCCCATGACGATGACATGCTGCCGTTCTCGGAAACGCCGACACGTGCCGGGCTGCCGCCGCCGCCAATGGTGCCTACGCGGCGTAAGCTCCGGGCGAGACCGCCGACGGAGAGACCGCCCGTCCGGCCCATGCTGCTGCCGCGCAACAGCACCCGCGGCGCCGCCCAGCTGTCAGAGCTGTAGCTCACGCTGGCGACGGGCTGCAGTGCCGTGCCGCCAGCATTGCTCGCACTGTCGTTGCCGTGGAATGTGCATGACCGTGACCGGCTCCCGCCTAGCTCCAAGACATCACCCGTCTCGGCGAAGTCATCACCAGACCTTGCCATTGCCATTGCCGTTGCTCCTGCTGCTGCTGCTGCGGCGGCGTCTGCCATACTCTCTGGGTTCAAGCCGGCACTCCTTTCCTGTGAAGCACCCTCTGAGCCTATGCCCTCGTTGGAATCGACAATGTATCCGCGGCCCAGCGTATCCGCTGCAAAGTCAAAATCGTCAGCGTCCGGCGCGCTAGCTCGCCGGAGTCGACTACTGCCCGCTCTAGAGGAGCGGAAACTCGGCTGCGCGCCTAGCGGCGCACACCGTGCCGCAGCAACGATGTCAGGAGTGTCCGCAGCGGGCACTGCGGGCACGGCGATCACTTTCCACGCCGGTGGCAGTGCCCCCTCATCACCGCTGCCGTGCTCCGCCGCCAGGACCACCGCCGCTGCCGCTGTGGTAGTCGCCACCGGTGCCGCCTCTTTAGTGGCGGTCGCAACAGCATCCGCGTCTGCAGCAGGAGCAGCAGCAGCCGCAGCGCTGCTGCCGTCTGTGCAAGCTTTTTCGTCCAGCTGGGGCCTTACTGCGCCTTGAGCGGCCTCGGCACCGACGTCTCCAGCAGGGGCCGGAGTGTCGAGCTGCTCAGCCAAGGAAGCGGAAGCAGAGAAGCTAGAATGCGAGGAGCTGCGCTTCAGGCGGCTACCGGCCGAGGTCAGCGGCATGCTGCGCAGCGAACGTCGTACACCAAGCGATGACCGTGCGGCGGCTGAGCTGAAGCCGCCGGCGTCCGTCTCATCGGCCGCTGCCGCTGCCGCCGCCGCCGCCGCCGCAAGCTTCCAGGCTGGCTGCAGCTGCTCCTCGTCGTCCTCATTGCCAGGTGCCAGGCTGCCGACGGTTTGCTTGTCCGAAGAGGCGACAAGCGCCGCCACTGCCATTGGAGACCCGGTCGTTGCCCTGGCGGAGACGGACGGCGAGATCTTCGCACCGTTCGCGGGTTGTCCAAATTCAGGAGCAGCAGGTGGACTCGAAACGCCAACGTCCGAATGTGAGTCACCAATGCCGTCGCCGTTACTCAAGGATGCCGCCGCTTGGACGACGTCGCTGGTGGCAGCACCCAGCGCGGCCGGCTCTGACAGCTGTGCATTGGCACTTCCGCTGCTGCTCGTACACTCGGCCATCACAGAGTCCTGTGTTGCTTGCCACCCCCCTGAGTTCGCGGTATCAGCGGCCGGAACAGGCGCCAGCGGCTCTAGTGTGTCTGCGGCTGCGGCGGTCGCGTCCGTAGCCTGGGCCGCGACCACAGCAGCGGCTTCTCCGTCTTCATCTTGGTGGCTACTGACGCGGCTGAGACGGCTGCTGCCACTGAGCATGGAGCGAAGAGACCTTCGAGCGGCGAGGGAGCCATTGGATGCGGGGCGCCCGCCGGCCTCGCCATCGGGGCTTATGGGGCTCGGGGGAACCAGCACCTGTCAAACAGCAATAGGAAGCCAGTGGCAGAGGGATTTGCGTAATTCTCAAATAAAGGACAGCGGGTAACGTGAGGCTGCGGGCGTCCGTCCATCAGATGCCCGTTCCGCTCCCGCAGCGGTTGCCAAGCAACGCCTAAACTGCCAGGCATCATACAACGCCGGAGGACAGATTCCATTCCGGGTGCTCAAACTGCAACCTTAGGATAAACAACCTTGTTTTGATCAAACTGTAACCTTAGGATGGGAGATAGGACACCACAGTATAGCACACAAAACATGACGGCCAATACAAGTTCAGTGCCACAACAAATCGCCTGTTATACTTCTTTAAGACCAGCCAACAAGGCCAACAAAAAACGGCTTTTGAGGTACGCATGGCGGTGAGGTACTCACAAAGCTGTCTAGTCGAACGTAATCGCAGCGCCCACAGCGCATGTAGGCTGACAGTGCGCTTTGTGTGCTGGGAACCGCCGCAGGATTCTCTCTTAGGGTCTCCAATGCTTGCAAGTCACACACGAACCCCCCCGCAAGCCGACCTTTCGCGCACCTGCCAAGCGTGTAACAGCGGTTGCTGATCGCCACTGGACGAGCCAGAGACTTCGGACACCTCGGGTACTGCCGGCACCGTGGGCATACCCACTATGGGCTTCTTAGCAGCAGCAGGACTCCTAGGGCTGGGAGCCAGCGACGCTGCGCGTGACGCGATGAAAAGCGGCGTCAGCAGAACCGCTTCGTCCGTGACCCCTATCGATACCCGCAACCGATCGTTAGTTTGAGTTATAATCACCGAGGCGCGGGGTGTTGGTGCTGCTGCGGACGCAGTCCATGCGTCTGCCCGGATTTCGGCTGCTTGGAGGAGGGGGGGAACACCGTCGGCCTGGTCTGCACTAGGTCCATCTCCTGCTTCGGCACGCATGGTTGTTATGTCCACCGCACTGACTTCAGCCTCTGTTGCGGTAGGGACGAAAGGTGCTGCCGCGGCGGCGGCGGGAGGATGTGGACGACCGGCCTCCGTGTCCATGGGCTTAGCGACGGCACCGTCTTCAGCTCCTTCCTCTCCGAGAGGTGTTGACACACCAACCGATTCGCCCATCGTATGATGGCTACCTGCATTGCGAGCACAACAGCGCAAAAGTCCTAAATCCTCCACAGACAAGATTTCCTTGGGATTCGCATTGCCTGCTAGGTGGTTATGGTGGTAGCCAGGCCCCCACCGATTTTCACCGCAACAAACTAAATCGAAGGATCAACAAGTCCACCGGATCTTGTGTTTAAATGACCCCAACAACTTCCCCTCGCCCACACACTCACCATCACCAGGCAAATCCAACTGATTGTCCACACCTGCAGGAGAAGTCGGTATTGCCTGCGGCTCGCTGGTTTCGGAGCCATCTTCATGCACACAAGCTCCCGCCTGAGCATCAGCAGCGAACTCGGTCCCTACTACCTCCTCCGCGGTGGCGCAGCCGCCCGACACTGGGTCATCAAAATCCGCTGAGCCCGAGCCAGCTCCAGTGTCGTTGCGGGCAATTTTCAGCTCACCGACGTCAGATCGGGGCGATACAAGCCGTGCGCGCTTTCGGCCCATGCCCGCTGCCGCGCCGTCTGAAGCACTGCCCGAAGCACAGACCTCCGCTGCACTGCCCTCTCCGGCGGCAGCGGCGGCGGCGGCGGCCAAACCATCGCCGTCGGTAGTGTGCTTGGCCGATAGCGCCGGCGCCGGCGCCGCGGCACCCACAACCCCTGAGGCTGCGGCAAGCAGTGCGACGCCGGCACCGGCTGGGGCCTTATGCCGCAGCTCCTCCATTACGTCGCTGCCGGTGCCGCTGATGCTGCGCTTATCCGCATCCGACGTCTCCTCCTCCTCTAAGCTGTAGCTGTAGTCCACGTCTCCTAACTGGTGGGAGTTAACTGTGGACAAGGTAGGGCGGCAGGATTGATCCAAAAGCTCATCGCGTGCCTCGCCTGGCGACGCCGACGACGATACCGGGCGAACAGCGTATGCAGCCAGGGGCGATTCACGAGGCAACGTGCTTTCCTCAGGCTCGCCAGTTCCTGCGGCCTCGGACAGGTCTCCATCATCGGCATCCTCCTCCATAGCACCGCCCGACACGCCTGGGTCAATATCCATTCCTGCCGTGCCATCGTACATCTGCTCTTGCGCGGCATCATCATCATCATCGTCGCCTCCGTCTGCAACATGTTTCAAAGCCTCCTCTGCTGCAGCTGTAGTTGCAGGATCTACCTCACCCGTTTTGAGTGCAACAAAAGTGTCACCCGGGGCGGCTGTCGATATCGCAGGTCCCGCCGAAAGCGGCTCGGTCGCGCTATCGTTGTGAAAGCCATACGTTGGTATGCCCCCCGCGGTTTGGACCCCGCTTCCCGGAGACGCCCCGTCGTGTGCTGCTGAATCTTTCAAGACCTCCTCGTCAGCGCCAAGCGTGGAGCGCGCAGCACGAGGGCTTTCCCCCAACGATGTCGACCCAGCGGACCGCGCCGCTGCCGCCGCCACCGATGCATCTAGGGGCGCCATTCCTTCTAGCGGCGCAACCCCGGACGATATGGAATCGCCACCAACGATTGACTCCCCGGTAGCTTCCAGGGACACGGCGGCAGTGGAAGCAGCGACCCCCATCACACCACGCTGACCCGAGTCTGGCTTCGACGGCAATGGCCCCTGGAAGCGCTGTGCTGCATGAGACTCACATGCTTTCATCATAGTCGGTTCTTCCGTCATCTCGACCTGTGGCTCCTCTCTGGTCGGCGGCGATTTAGGCGTGGAAGTGCGGTCTGGGGGGTCCGTTTCCTCGACGCCAGCTTCCATGGTCACGTGTGAGTAGTCTTTCTCAGACTCCTCGTCGCAAGCTGTGGCGGAGGGAACTGTCGCCGCGTGAGCTGTTCCCATGGTGGTCCCACCCGGCAACGGTTGAGCAGCAGCAACACCGCCTCCGTCATCCGCCTCCTGCACCTCGGGCGCAACAGTGCACTCTTCCATCGCCTCGACGGCTGTGTCCGCCACTGCGCTCCACCCGGCCGTCGATGCGGCGGCATGCGGTGGGCTCGCGCCCATGGAGCTGTCCACTGGCGGGGAATCGGCCACAGGCACCGTCGTGGTCCCGGCTGCCGGCGACGTAGTCTGGACTGCAACCGGCGTTGGTACAGCCGCGCCAAGCTCTGGTAAAATGTTGCACTTCGCCAGCTCGGCTGTTGGCGACCTGGGCACAGACATGCCGCCGCCCGGCGCTGGTTCCACGACCTCTAAGCTTGTCCTCAGCCCAGCAGGTGAAGCCGCAGCTTGAAGTGCCTCGGAAGCCGCTGCGGGGCAATCACTCGGCGGCAGCTGTGCAGCAACCTGGGGCATCTCCACGTCAATGGGTCCTGAGGTTGCCACCGCTGCCACCGTCGCGCATGCCGCCGCCTCTAAAGCCTGGACGTCATCCTCCTGCAATAGGACCTCGGCAGGGTCCGCAACCGCGTCAGCGGTAACGGGGATGTCGCAAACCATCATATCAACGTCCGGCATGGGCGGAGCAGCGGCAGGTGCCGTAGCTGCTTCCAAGACCGGGACACCCGCGCCAGCCGCCGCTGCCGCCATCACCAGCGGCGGCGATAGTCTCAAGTCCGTCCGTTCCACGCCAGATCCATTCAACTCCAAGTGGTCACCAGGCGCCATGGCCAGGTTGGAGCCCGTGTCTTTGTCCTTTTCATCACTTGTCGCTGCTAGAGCAGTCGACACACGCGTGACGAGCTCATTATGATCCCCCTCTTCCACGTCTATGTCCATGCCCGGTTCCGGCACCATGCTTGCCGTTGCTCTTGCCGGCGGGGTTGCGGTTTGCGGTGTTGCCGCTGCGCTGCTGGCTTCGTCACCTTCCATAATTGCGTCCTCGCCGCTGATGTGTGCCGGCAGCGACATCGCGCCTCCAGCCAGCTGCCGGCTAATCAACGTGGCCTCGAACGCCACTGTCGCATCGTAACCAAAGGATGAGGCGTTGCTCGCTTGATACATCAGCCGCCTACTGGCGGCAGAGGGCTCATCCCCAGACTCGGTGGACGGGCGAACCTCCATAGCTTGCAGGACCGCTGCCGTCGCCGTCATCGTCGCTGCTGGCGGCGATCCGGCGGCGATGACCGCTGCGGCAGCTGCCACCGCCTCTGCGGCCAGGATGTCGCTAAGGAAGCCGTCATCCGTCTCCAAGCTGTCAAACTGATTGGCTCCGCCAACGTCGGCGAGCTCTGCCGCCGTCAGGGAGCGCCGGCCAGATGCAACTGCATCAGACACCGAGGCTGCTGCCGCCGCGGGGACTGGCATGGGTCCGCGTGCAGGAAAAGCATGCTGGGACGAAGGGCCCAACAACGCCAGCGCAGCCGCGCCCAAAGCCCCTCCACCCTCCACCCTCGGCGAGGGGGAGGCGGTTGGAGAAGCGAGCGGAGAAGCGTCCCGAGACATTGCCACGGCAGCAGCGACTGCCGCAGCGGTGGACTTCACGGTGCTACCGGCAAGCCCACCGGCTCCGTGCTCCGAAAAAATATTGTTTGCGTCGTTAGTGATGTTGCGCCAGAGCTCCTCGCTATCGAGAGAAGGGCTCTCCTGACTGGAAGACCCAACGATGCCAAGCAGCTCTCGCACCTGAGCAGATTGGCCAAGGAAAGATTGCGCGCAGCAGGAACAGATTCAGGGCGTGAACGGAACACGGACTTTGGAGTGCCATGGCAGCGCATGGGCCCCCTGCGTTACGTATGATTTTTCTGACATTGGTGAAACGAGCACACCCAGCATCATAACCTACCGATACCCTCCGCCGGGTCCTCTCGGCACCTATCCTATTCGCATCCGCTATCCACGTACCTTACACACAGTGCTCACAACGGGCTCCTGGGAGCTTCGAAGGGTGGTAGCAGCCAGAAGCTCTGTGGCTGTCGATCCAGGCAGGATACCGCGCAGGCGCGGCGACGGGATGGCAGCCGGAAACCCACCACCACCCATGCCGCCATGCTCCTGCAGCGCCATTGCGACCGGTGTGGCGCTTGTCGGCCCGGCCGCGGCCGCCGTCGTCGCCACTGCGGTCATCTGCGCGGCTAGGAGGTCACTCTCGGCCTCATCCTCACCACCAAAGGCTACAATGGCCCCCTGCATCAACGCGTTCATCTCGGCGTCCGTGTCCCCGTCCAACCAATCGCTGTTGCCTGTTCCGATAGCCATAGCGGCTGTCAGCGGCCGCAGCAGCTCGTCGGATGTCGGCCGCGGCCGCGGCGACACACCGTGAGCGGGTTCTCCAATGGGACTCGGACCGCCACCGGCATCCGCCTGCGTTGATGCCGCCAGCCACGGATCACCCGCGAGCATGTCCTCAAGGGACTCTCCGGCCAACATATCCGGTCCTAAAGTCAAAGTGGGCAATGTCAAGGACGGGTGAGAGACCTCGCAATCCAGCTCACTCTCTGCTGTGGCCACCGCGGCCGGGGATACCGCAACTGCAGCTGCCGGCGACGGCTTTGCGGCAGCAGGACGCTTGGCTGCCGCCGAGGCCGCTGCCATGGCCGCAGTTGCCATCCCAGCGGCGGCAGTCGCCAACGTGCGTTTCGGCGGAGGGGACATTGGCGGCGACGGGGCGGTGCTGCCCGAGTGCGCTGAAGCAGAGGCAGAGTGCGAAGACCGCCCCGAGGATTTCCCGACTGTACCGTGCCCAGCAGTTGCGGTTGAGCGGCTGATTGGCTTCACTGAGCTGCCCGCATGAACAGTTTGAGACCCTGACGCGCCGACAACCCTGCGTGGTGTCATGCTAGAATGTGCAGGATCCGTCACGCCGCCCTGTGGCGGCCGCTTTCGCGCAGACGTTGATCCCGGTGCTGCCAGCGCAGAGCTGCTATTGCTGCTGCCACTCCCCGTGCTCGATCTGGCGGCTAGAACAACGCTGCTGGCTGGGCTGGGACCGGCGGAGAGGCCGGTCCGTCCTGAGGTACGCGGGCTGTTGCGGCTGCTTGTCGCCATGGCACCCAGGGCGTTCACCGCAGCCACCGGCTTCTGCCGCGCCGAGCGCGGCATGGCTGGGGTGACGGCATGCGGCTGAAGCGGCGTGGTGGTGGACGACGGTGTGGAGGTGGAGAAGGCTGGACTGGGAGGCGGTAAATTAGTGGGGAGTGTGTGGGAGCCGCTGCGCAACGCGGGGCTGGGAATGGTACTGCTCGTCGGTGGCGTTCGCGCCGTGGAACTGGTTGCGGCCACCACAGCACCAGCTTTAGCGATGCGGCTTCCAATTTTGCTGCGAATCGCACTAGATGCGGAGGTTGAGGGAGTCGAGGTAGCAGCCAACTTGGCGGGCCCGGCTGATAGAGCCGCGCCATGCGTAGCTGTGGGGGTGGCGGTGTAGGTGAGCACTGCTGCTGGTGCAGCAGACCCGCGAGGTGCGACGGGTGTCCTGTGGGCGGAACCGCTAGCCACGGGTGCCCGATGAGCACCGACTGACGTGGTCGGGGCCGCCGCGCCTGGAGTGATGGGAGTCCCCGAAGCAGCGGCGACACCGACTCGTGAAGCCCCAGAACCGGCACCCCTGCTGCCCTCCGACACTGCGATTGCAGGATGACGCGGAGACGAGCTGTCCAGTTCACTTTGCCGACAAGACTGGGCTACTTGCGCCTCAGCCTGCGGGCTCAATATGTACTGAAGGTGAGTATCTCGTGCAACTAGGTCCTCAAGAGAGTCGTCGAGCTCATTTGAAACCTCGAGATGCATACCACCCTGCAAGCAGTACCGTCCAAAATCAAACTCGCAACCGTTTAAAGATGCCACACAAGGGGAGTAATATTGAGACGACCACAGGGTGGAAAATTGCGACCTGGAACGCCGTTGAAGATGACAACAACGCGCTTGCAGGAGTCAGTCGAAGATGATGCTAGATTCTTACCTGCAACGCCGCCTGGTTTGCCCATGGCGGGCCCTCAAATGTCGGGTTGTCATGTGTCACGCTGTCACCCTAACAGGAAAACCGAATCGTTGTCTGGAGTTAAGGTCCCGACATCTGCTCAACGGGCCCCGACAACACTCAACATACCAGTAGCCCTGCCTTAAGCTCCTTGATCTCCTTAAGAAGCTCATGCAGGTCAGATGCAGGTGTTTGCGGTGCTGGCTGTCCTTGCATAGTCTGCCCCCCTACAATAACTTCCAACGCATCCTATGGAAAAAACTCGCAGATTGTCATAGTCCCTTACACTAAATCTTCAGTTTATAAGATGATTTAACCAACTCGAGACGTGCACTGCTCACACAAGCACGGGTTGATATGCCCCAAAGGGGTCGAGAGATAGAGCATGCACAACCGTAGTTTGCTAATGCCTGCAACAAGGATTAAACTGCTTAACCAATTATGGTCTCTTGCCTGTAAGCCCATCTCACATGACGTAGGGGTACGAGTCTCGTCCAATAATTTTGTGTGCTTTTGCCACGGCCCTAACCGATTATAATAACTGAGGTGATGTTGCATATTTCAAGTTAGGCGTGGAAACTGTAAGGATGCATAACTGCGTGCCTACCTTTTAAAATGCGGCGCTTGCTGCCCAGCATAAGTTATAGTATCTCTATATTAGATGTTATGAAACGAGACTAGTTAACTCCTTCGCCAAATGGGCCAGGTGCTACTTTTGCAGCTCTTTGTGGCATCAAGCATCCCTGTTGTTAAAATTCTGCTAATATGTACAATAGGTGCCTTCTGCGCACGGAAGGTACTTGCTGGGAACAGCCGGGAGGGAGTGTAGTGACGGGGAATGTCGTCATGCGCCACGCGCTGCGCTGGCGTTTGCCAACGCTGCCGTGATCATCCCTGATTAATAATCAGCCACAGAAACGTTGGAAACCTGTCTTTTTGCTGTTAGCCAGAGTTTTTGCAATGCAGCGCCGAAACCACCGTCTCGCTCTACCGACCACTGACAGGGTCCGATCCCATTCGGACATTCAGTAACTCCCCATAGTAGAATTCCTCGGCATTACCGTCAGATGCACATTGCAGATGATAAGGCTTTCCACGAGTCGCGAGGGGCTGTGGGAGGGCACGGTGCTGGGTGACGTGGCCGTGCCCCGAGAAGAGGAGGAATGATGCGGGCAATGACGTGGCTGCCATACCTAACAACACGTGCCTGGCGCGTGTCACGCCGCGGCTGAACACTGTTGTTGTCACGCGCGCTCTGTCATGGTTTCGGATCATGCCCAAACACGCCAGGATCTTCCTCACCCCAGCACCGCCGCCATCACCCGAACCCCAACCACCATAATGCAACATCTACCGGACAATAACGCCTTAACTTGCACCCACCATCTCCCAAACGCACATTCATCGCACACACGGCATTTCTCCCCCACTTTAAGCAATTGACCTTTTGCTTCTTTTGCACATGACGCTCCCTTTCTAAGCGAATGCTTCTTCCCGATGCGCGTCGGTCCATTCCCCGCTACCCACTCACTACCCCCTCTTCCCACTCGCTTTCTTAGCTCTTCTTACCTTAGCTGCTGTGCGTTCCTTTCATTTCCTTCAGTTGCCTTCCCGGCCATGTTTTCCTGCCCCTTCCTTTTACTGGGTTTCAGGGTCAAAGCTCAAAAATCATGTATTTCCCCCACACACCACATTTTCCCCCCGCCTCCCGCCTCCCGCCTCCCGCCCCCCGGGCCCGCTTTCCCCGCTGGTCCCCGACCCCATGTGCCAAACCTCCCAGGGTTTGCTGACACCCGAGGGCCGCCGCGTCCTGGGCGCCCTGTCGTACTTGGTCTTCAACCCGGCCCTCATATTCGGTAAGCTGCTGCTGTTGCTGCTGCTGCTGCTGCTGCTTCGGTTGCTTCGGTGCCACGCGCCAGCTCTTCTTGGTCCCCAACTTCATGAGCTCTAACACACACACACTCAGTCTCGCACACTCCTAAAGTTCCATAAGTTCTTAAAAAAAAACAAATCAAACCCCCCTAACCTTGGCACCAAGTATTATACAGTTTATGAAAAAATAGTTTATACTTCCAACCAAAGAAAACTTCCCTTGCGGACACCCACTGAGTCCTGTCCCTGCTCCGCGCCCACAGTCAAACTGGCAAGTACGTTGACTCCCGGCCGCCTGCTTCATTGGTGGCCTCTGGTACTTAACACGGCCATCAGGTGGGCGGGTGAAAGGGGGAACGGGAGTGGGAGTGGGGGGAAAGGACTGTGTATGCCATCCCCTACATCCTCTGCCGTACAATTTGTCGTATCAACTCATCTCCTGCTACCGCTTTTTTTGTGATGCTTTGGAGGTCAGTCGGCAATTGACTTTTGCCTCCTGCTTTCTGCCCTTTGTATTCCGCATGTTCCAAATCTCTATCCCCCAACCCTCAACCCCCTCAACCTTCATCAACTCAAACCGTCCAAATGGTGGCATGCCGTTACCGCGGACGGACGGACGGACGGACGACGACTAATCGCGATAACCGCTATATGCCGTTGCCACCACGACGGTGGTCACGATGCCGCCGTACAGTACCGCTGTGGGCCTGATCCTGGGTTATGCGGGTGTACGGCTGGTACGGCCACCACAACCCCTGAAGCCACACACCGTGGTCGCGATTGCACTGGGTGGGTGGGGGGGGGGGAGGGGAGGGGGGAAAGGGGG